CATTTTCCACTATTCTGCACTTTAGATGGCTGTATCGATACTTTTGAAAATGAGTATTGTATCCGGATACAACGTTTCAGTATCGATACTTTTGAAAATGAGTATTGTATCCGGATACAACGTTTCAGTATCGTTACTTTTTTGAGTATCGATACGTTTGACAACCCTAACATGTTGTTGGAAGCACCTGATGTCAGTCCTGACTGGAAGCAACATAGCCTCCGGACAATGCCTACTGGTTCAAACTGTAACTTCATCTCGCAAAGATAAGCAACATATCTGAAAATAACACTAAGTTATAAGCATATATAAGCACACAAGAGCACAAAAAATGCTAATGAGAGCCTGCACATATAGCGGGCTGTCACTTTGCAAAAGCAATATTAGAAAGAAAAAAAAACAATGGTTACATAAATAACTTTAAAACAAAATTACTAATAAAGAAAAGATATTTGAAAATGTAGAAATTAAACATGCTTTTCAATTATGTTTTAACAGAACGATTTAAAGGATAAACTCATAAAACAGGCCTTGATAAAAATGATGGTACCCATGGAAAAGACTTAAAACAATGTGACCAAAGGGATATGTTGAATCAAGGTGTGTCCACTTATTAGTATTTCAGGTGTCTACAAACTGTAATCAGACAGTGGCCTGTGTATAGGGCTACAGCTCATCACTGTGCTGTTTGGTGACATGGTGTGTACCACACTCAACATGAGCCAAAAGAAGACAATGAAAGATAATTGTGTTAATATTCTGGAATTTTATATATATGAGGCTATAGCCAGCCTCCATAGATGTGGCTGCAGGTGGAAGGTTGATGGCAAATCAAAGAAATGGATAATACGAATGATAACTAAAAAGCCCAGAAAACTTCTAAGGAGATTAGAAGTTAACCTCAAACTCTAGGAGCATCAGAGTCAGATTGTGCCATGCAGACGTTTCATGCTTTATAGTTGAGTGATCGTTTTCCCTTTTTACTGATACTATATACAAAAACAAAAGAAACAAAGTCTAGTTGGATGCCTTGTGTTGTCTCCCATCGCGCACCTGTCAATGAGGCAGAGGGAGAGAGGCTGAAAAGCTGCAGATCCTTGTGACTGGCTGCTCTGAGCAGTATGTCTCAGTGCCAGATATTGCCTGGGGAGCCTTGTCAGCTCTGTGCCACATTTAAAACAGTTTGGAAGGAATACTTGTTGCTGGCATGAAGTAATACCTGCTGGGCAGTGTAGTGAGACACCACGTGCGAAGCTGCACAAATAGTAGGATATTGTAGTGTTGCAATGTCTGCAACATTGATTTTTTCTGACCAATGATATCGATATCCTTTTTTACTAAGCGTCTGGAAGCCATAATGTGGTTATCTATCGTAGCCTACTAAGATGGCACGTGAAACAACAAATCTGTTTCAGAAGTGTAGAACTATGTTTTGTATAGAGAAGGCTCTGTCTCCTCTAGGAAGGATGAGAAGCTTTTCCAAGTAGGGAGAGGCCAGTTAGATCTTAAAAAAAAGGGAAAAAAAGATTTTTGAACTCTTTACTCCCTTTTGAACTCTGAGCTACACTGGGATCTATTGAAGAGAAGCCAGGACCAGAGTGATGCTCTCCCTTTTCCGTGTTCCTGTTAAAAAAACATGTCGTACCATTTTGCACCAACTGGAGACGACCAAGTGAGGCATGTTTGACTCCATAACAGAGGAAATTACAATAATCTAATCCAGATTAAATGAAATTTGCATGAATTACTAGATCATTTTGCTATTTTACTTAAATGATAAAACTATAGCTCAACATGGCCGTCACATGAAAATCATGTGCGTCCTAAACCAATGTTTGTTATAATGTCAGGGAGTCAGGAGTAACAAGAAGGGAAAATAAAAATAAAAAATCTTCTAGGTCCAAAATTTAGTCTTAGTCTTTGTTCATTAAAATGCAGATGTATCACTATTCAACCTCTAATATCCTCAAGACACAATAAATGAGGTTTAATGGACCATGCATTGCTTCGACTCATAGGCACACATATTTGGCAATCATCAGCATAGCAATGGAAAGAGAAGCCAAAGTGTTTTTGAAAATAGACCCTGGAGGAAGAGGGCACAGAGAAAAGGGCAAATCCTCTATAACTGAACACTCAGAGACCCAACAAGACAGCAGAGCAGAAAAGGATCCACACCCTGCAATTTTTACAGATAACATTCTGTCTGTCAAATATGACCTAAGCCACAACTGAGCTGTACCACTAATGCCTATTTGGTACAGTAGACGTGACAGTAAAATGCCATGATCCACTGTATATAAGCAGCAGTTAAGTCCAGCAAAACAGAAACCACACAATCATCATATGCCAGGAGAATGTCATTATAAACTCTCAGCAGGGCTGACTCCTTTTGATGAAAATGTATAACACCATAAGGAAACACATCAGTGATATTATTTTTTTTTTATCAAGGAAAGAAGGAACTGAGAATAAATATTTTTTTCCAGGGTTTTTGGGCGTAGAGGTTAATTTGAGATGGGCCATAAATTCCCCAACATTGCAGGATCAAGACCAGGTTTCTTTATCATGGTCTGCCACACAGTATGTTTAGAGTTATCTACTCCACATAACTGACTGATGTTGGAGGGTGAGCATCAAGTGCCCAAAACATGGTAAAACTACCATATTAAAATTACTTAAGACAACCTTTTACACGTTTCCTGTCATGTTAGAAGACCATAAAATAAAATTTGAATTCAAACAAAAAAAAAAATGTGTTTCTTTTGGAAGTCATGAAAGCTACAGTGTTAAAAAACCTTGATAGCTAAGTTTACATTAAGACCTGTGTAAAGGGAAAAACTTTGATAATGTTTTATAAAAACATTGGCATAAAACACTCCGTGCATCAAATTGGATAAAATTAAGAGATGACATTAACATTCAGCATAAAGTGGTTAAAGGCAAAATATGTAAAAGATTGCAGAGGTGATTTAGGGTTTTCCACTCTGGAACTGTTGGTGGAAAGTCAAAGTCTACTGCCAAACAAAGATTATTGTCCAAGTTGACATTCACTGAAAAGTAGCCTTTCGATGTAAAGTGGTGACATCTCCTAAGAGAAAGGAGTAGTCTCTAGGCAGAAGGTTTATAGCATCAGAAGTCTCTAACTCCCATGGAGACGGCTTTTAAGATGAACAATCCCCTATTATTCAAAGTCAAACAGTGGAAAGTAAAAGTTCACCAACAATGAGAGGTACTGTAGTAGTTCTCTCCATGACAATTGACCATCAGCAAACTGTGCTAGGATGACAAAACACAATCCTCGGAATTACAAGCTCCCCAGACAGAGACTGATTTAATTTTAGGCAAATATTGTCAATGAGTAGATAAGATTGAGAAAAATAAGTATGTTTGTTGTCAAAACTTTTCTCTATCTGCCATTATGATGCCTCTGCATTATACTTTTCTCGGTTTTTCTTGCATCTTTTGTTCATATACAGCTCTTTGAATTGTTTTGCTAATGCAATGTGCTCTGTGTCTTAAATATCCAGAAGAAAACGTTTAAATTAGCAATATGGATTATCATCACAACCCTTTGAAAAAAAAAAAAAAAAATTCTATTTAAAGCAAATGGCTTCTTTTTACGAGGCTATGCAACAACTGGCACAAACAGTAAAAACCGACTAATATCATACAATTACAGTATGATGTCGAGTTATAAAAATCAGAAAGGTGAACATATAAAGTTCCATAAAGATCCAACATTTTCACAACAGTGGGCTGTCAGTGCCAAACATACCAGCAGGATAATGACAGCTTTTTGAAAAAAAAAAAAAATAAAATGAATAAAAAAGCTGTACGTTTTTTTTTATACTTCAATTACAGTATAAACCACTCCCAGTTAGATAGCTGTGGCATAACATAAGTCAGCCCTTCTCAGGCCTTTCATCAAACACGCTTTATTTTTAAGGAAATGTATCAAATACGAAAAGAACTAGAACAATTAGAGTGAAAACGATTTTTCTTTACATAAACTTTGAAGCACTAATTGTTTTACAATAAGTAATTGGTTATAAAGTTTATACAAATATAGACATTTTTAATCAGAATCTATAAACAAATGCATGGAAAGCTCTAACTATATTTGGCATCGACTGAACTTGCAGTGTTCTACACAGTGTACAGTTAAGTGAGTGCAAATACTCATGTATTGGTCATGCGCAGCAATAAATATTTAACATGGGATACAATTTAGACAGCTAAAACCAAAAGGGAAAGGGTTTAATATGTTAAATTATTAAGTTTAGCCAAAACTGCAACACTTGAATATTCTGTGTAAGCATTTAAGGCACAACATGCTTTATAAGGGAGTCATGTCACCATAATGAAGCTAAACTTTTTCTTTTACAGAACTGGTTAAAAAAAAGTTAGAAATGTTATTGTCTAAATGAAAGTTACCTGGTTGTACAGAGCACACACATGCAGGGCGGTGTTTCCAGATGCATTCTGGGCACTCATGTCAGCTCCATAGAACAGCAGATGTTCCAAATGCTGGACGTGGCCGTAGCGACATGCCTAAAATGATAAATGAATAAACTTACTGCTATGGCTCAGTGTTACTGAGAAAACATTGTCAATGGGTTGAAAATGCAGTTAAGAAATGAAGTGTGCTACGAGGTGCCATGAAGGAACCACATAGGATTATACTGAGGAACACAATATGTATGAGGAACCTGGCCAAAAACTATGATCAAAAAGCACTTAAATAAGAGACAGCTGGGCTGCAGCCAGCATCTTTCCTTATTGTCTACTTGTCATCATCAAGATGTTACTCTTAACTACTTTTTTTCTTTACCATTTAAAACAGCTAGTAGAAGAAGTTTTATTGGCACTTATACCAGATGATGCTTTAAGCAGTTCATGAAAACAGTGTCCCAACATTTCTCATCTGAAATATGTACAAAATCTTTCATTTTCATTTTTTCCCCCTCATTTTTTGTCATTAATTCTTATGAGCACCACGTCCACTAGGATAAAGGGTGTTGCTCACCAATCCCGAAGCACCTCCAGCCTTCCTTATAGCTACATTTTACAGGAATTCCTCTTCACTCACAACAACAGACTCTAAAAGGAGATAAAAATCTTGTTTGCACTACCTGAGGCTAAATGTAAATGTGTGAAGTTATTCTTGTAGGACATTTTCTGCTCTGCTGCTGCACCTAACTTGGAGCAATATTTTTTCATCTTTTCTTTACTTTCCTGTTTTGTCTTTTGTCATTCATATAGAGGAAAAATACCTCTCCTCAGCAATTGCTCAATTGCTTCTGTCTTTTTCTCACTGGAGTGCATTTAAGAAATGAGGGAATGCAAAAATAGTGCTGGGATTGTTCCACATTTTCACTTTTCTTTGGCATATTCCATTGCAAATGGTGTACTGTATACCTAAGGTTTATTAATACCGAAAAGCATGCAGAAAAAAATCAAACACATATGAAAGGGTTGGCAGGCATAAAACCTATTAATACAATCCATTATTTGTGTAGGCATTAAAACAGTTTGTATTTTGTTTATGCAGGCCATATTAAAGTTAGATAAAAATATTGGTGATAGGTAGTGATCTGCACTGAGAGACGGAAGAATATATTACAGTCATTGTGGTTTATGCTCTTTAAGTTTGCTGTCCAGTCAAGCAAACTAAAACCATGATCATTAAAGCAGGTAAAATTACTTCTGGCAGTGTGGAAAGGAGCCAAGTCATTCAGGAAAATGAAACCAGCATATCTATAAAGCTTTTTAGTAGATGGAAACACAAAGGGATCTCAAATTTTATGGTAGACAGCTGTGCTGACTTTGCACTTGATACAATGCAGTGGACCAAGACCAGGAGATGACAAGGCTCCCCAAATCATGACTATGGTAACATTACTGGACCTCAAACAGGTTGGATTCTGTATGCGGGTGGTTACAAAACAGATCTTTTGAGGTGGAGAATTGTGGAGCCTGGGGGTCTGCGGCTTAAATAGCTGCTGGTTCCAGCTACTGACTTAGCAATAGACTATAGGTCGGGTTCAACTTGTCCCAAACCCGCGGGCATAAAGCCCGACCTGGCCAGAGTCCAAACAACGCACTTAAATTGTGGGCAAAAGCCTGAAGACAACCTAACATGAAAAATTTATTTTATGTATGCTATTAGTGCTAATAGACATAATGAAGTCTATGCAGCATGTACCACTATACTAAGTATGGTTTAACCTAGAGCTCAGTGCAGTGGTGCACACCACACAGACTGACTGCATCTAGTAGCAGTAACGCCTCAAATGAAATATTTATACATGTCTGCTTTTGTTCACTTCAGAGTGAGTATTGCCTGTGTGTCACGAAGGTCACATGCAGGGTGTAGGAGAGCAAACCTAGATGTGCTATCTGCTCCCACCTTGCAGCTGCAGCGTGGACTACAGTAGCATCTAATTATATACTTTACCCCAATTTCTCTCTATTCTTAAAAGAGTAGACAACAACTTAAGTGCTAGTCCATAATTTTATAATAAAAGAAAATAGATTTTATATCCATTACAACTGAATAGACTAAGATTTTATTGCATGACATGAAAATAAATCTAAGAGCCTGACCGGACCAAAATCGATCCAACGAAATTAAGGCCCAACTTTGACCAAATTTGGAATCTAGCTTAAAGGTAGGCATACAAAGTATACTTAGTGGTGACCAAAGGCAGATGCAAAGGCAGTGAATGAAAGAATGACTCACTTTTGGGGGCACCTGTTTGCAAATGTAGCTGTTATGCCTGAACGAAGGGCTATGATGATGTTGGCATGTACAGTTTGAGTGCATAGGAATAGGTCCTGCAATAGACACTGTTTGACCTTTAGAGCAGCACTTAGATGGTTTTGTGATAAATATTGCATAATTTAACAAGTTTATATGAAAATTAAAAAAAATACAGAGTGACATTAAAATAGCACCCAATAGGCCCACTTTAGGCAGTTCATCTAAAAAACAAAACTGTGTACATTTCCATGCAACTCAAAAGCAATGTGTACAGATGTGATGACAACAGCTGGAGTCCAATATTTGTGTGAAAGATCATCAGTTTTTAGTATTGCTCTGTCATTAGTCAGTTATACCAACAAAACTGCAATGGTACGGTACATTTTTGAGAGCAGCTCATGCCTTAAGGCGGTGTGTAGGAAAAAAAGGTACAAGATATGCTGGGTTTGCTCTCAGTGGTCTAGACCACTTTAACACACAGGTCTTATGATTTTGACTGCTACAGTAGTAAATGACTTGGTTATGGTCATGTAGGGTGAGTTGCTTAAGAGTACTTTAATTAAAGCAAATGTGACATGTGACTAGTGGCCAGCTAATAACTGACAGAGCAATCGCTGATTCTTTGCTGGGTGCCTGGTCTGCATATAGGTGCTTTAATTGCTTCTTCATAAAGAGAAGAACCCTGTGCCACCTTGTCATTGAAGCTTTAACAGAAAAGCCAGTGATGCTTCATTTAACCAGCAGGATGAGCTCTGATTTATGGGATTTTAGTGCCCTTACTTTGCTGTTGCTGCTGCACATATAATTACAGTCAAGGTGAATCCTGGGGTCAAATACTTGCTCAGCTGTTTTGGAAATTTGCAAGAGTTGAATTTCTTAGGGAGGAACCTTTACATTTTCCAGATTCCCTTACTTTCAATGAATAACAAAGTACACCATTTAACAGTATAGCAAACTACTTGGCCCAAGAATGTTGGCATTGTGTAGAGTTCATCATATCTGCTACAGTGTGTGCATGCAGAGGCATTTAGTCTGTTTCTCATTGTTGGATTTGGAGTACTGAAGGTGAGGCAAACCAATAAACCAGCCTTCACTGGTTGATTAGGAATTTAAACTGCCCTATCACCTAATAGAGTCTTCAATTAAGGGAACAATAAGGCTTGTTAAGTCTTTATCCTCTGTGTGTGCCATGCCTGTGTTAAACAGATGATACGATTTTAACAGCTTTTCTTTCCACCTGTGCAAAAGCCTAAAAGTTAAATGCTAAAAACTCAGAACATAGGATGTACTGTACTTTCTTATTACTGTAACTCTATCTGTAAGGACAGCCTATACAGGCTACATATTTCCATAAGTGCCCTTTAAAGTTGATTATTCACCTAAGCTCAGCTGGGACCATCATGACCTGGTAGTTCAAGAGTTGCAATCATCAAAGTATGAATCTCTGGGAACAATTATTTCCACTCAACTGCCTCAAAATGAAATAGCAGTGTCAGTTTGTCACTGTCATCTAGATAAGATGAAGTATGTTCATTTGTGTGTGTGTCCATGTTCTCAACTGAGCAATATTGGTCCTTGAAGTAGAATTGACATTAGCAATTAAAATGTTGTCAAACTAACAAACACAAAGAATTGAACTGAGTTAAACTGAGTAAACAGACTTCAGGTCCTTATTAAACTATGCAATGGTTGTCAGAAAACAGCAGTCAATAAACCTACAAAAAAATACAAAAAAACTGATGACCTCCTTGTTGACAAAGGTAATATGCATTTTTCAAAAGTTACTATTAAAGGGGTGTTGTGCAAGTATGAGCCCCCATTCCGTCTTTGGAAAACACACCTCACCCTGCTGTTGGTGGTCCCTGGGCCTGGCGCCACTGGTTGTACGGTAGCTTTGTTTCTATTAGAGCCCCTAGGGTGGCTGAGGCTAAAATGCAACTTTCTACTATCAGTCTGTGAGTTTGTAAAATGCTTTAGGAACCTTAGACTTGATAAGCCTTATATGAATATATGACATATATCAAGATGTTGTTTTTTTTTCTAGAAAAAAGATTTTTACAATCTGATTTTAAGTTTTATTCAAAAAGATATATAGAACCTTTCTTCATTATGCTTTCAGTTGCAGCAGTTGTTACAGTCTTTTACCTTAAAGTTGACTATAATTTAAAAATAAAGACAAAAAACTGGCTAATTGTGAAGTTATTTGTATCACTATCGTCTGAAATTAATATGTCATCTTTAAGACAAAAAGAAACCAGAAAAATTGCATTGACAACTAAGAACTTACAGCATTTTTGCTGCTTATATGCTAAAGTTAGTAATGCTAACTGTGATGATTGTGAAGATTCTCTCACAGGTAGCAGCAGGTACTATATTTTGAATGTAATTGCTAACAATATTGGCTATATAAAACTTTATATGTCTTAATATAAACCAAATCTGTTTTGTTAATATTTATTGCATTATAGTTATTATAATAATTGTAGTTAATAGTTGTCAGCATATACTGTAGAGTGGACCAGGAGTTAATCTTTGGACCCCATTCACATGTGAGGTTACGGGGATGGAAGCCATTATGGTTCTTTTCTCATCTGCCTACTTACCTTGACCAGCTGCACATCAATATGATCCTTAATCTGCTTTCTAATGATGTGAATGATAGAAATCATTCCTCTTTGTTGAAGGGAATGTTATTCTTAAGGAGTTCCTAGACTTTGTATTCATTTACTTGAACTTTGAAAACCATACAGTTTCTTTCTTACAAACTGTCCATCAAAGCTGTTGATGGTTTGTGTATATCATGGTGTATTACCTGGTGTATCTCCTGCCAGCCGTTCTCATCCTCACAGCCGACCTGTGCGTGGTCATGCAGCAGCAGTTCACAGCAGTAGGGGTCTCCCCCAACCATTGCACTGTGGTAGAGAGGAGTGAGACCCCTGCTGTCTTTATAGTCAGGTGAAGCACCCAAGTCCAACAGTGTCTGCAGGAAAAGTTTTAGTTTTGAAGTTTTATCAGGTAAATGAGGATTTATTCCATACAATTAAAAAACAGGCAGTCACCATGTAGTGGCAGCCACTGGAATGTCAAATTAAATTAATAAATCCTGAAAATATACCCTATTAGTATGCATGTGTTGAAGCTGTTGTTAAAAATAATAACAAAAATGCACTCAACAAAAGCAATTACACTTCATTGAAAAATAACTTTAGCAATACTGAAACCCATAAAACGTTTCAATATTCTCTAACATACATGTTTTTGAAATGTACTGTTTGGATTTAGTAACAGACCAACACAAAGTAACGCATAACTTTAAAGTGGAAGAAAAAAGCAAAGAATGCAGAGCTTCAAGTCATCTAAATACACCTGCACACCACTTTTTCTTCTACAAAATGTTTGAAACATGTCTTTAATTTCCATTTAACAACTCTGAAGGACCTTGTAATGGTATATAACACATGATGATAAGAAAAATATATACTTCTCCACGGCACTGTTGTTTTTTTACAGTTCTGGAACTTTATGCATACTGCATAAAAGAATAGATATCAAAAGTATGGAGAATGCTTATGAGTGAAAGCAAATAATCAAATTTAACCAATTCAGAAACAAGAAAATTGCAGGATGCACAAAACCAATTTCACAACATGAAAGGCAATTCAATTGCTATTGTAGTTCATTCAAATAGGGGATGCTACTGTATGCTTCACTTATTGAATAATTACTCAAGTATCTTATTTAAGCTAACAGGTTATCAATCCCTGTTTTATTGATACATTCCCACAGGAACCAATTGGAGGCAACTGATCTGACCAAAGACATAAAACAGAAGAGTCAGCGCCAGTATGTACCTTTGTGTATTGTACTTACTATAAGGGCGGTGTGATTCTTGCTGCGCACAGCCTTGTGTAAGGCCGTAATGCCATCCTTTGTTCGGAAGTCCAGATGTGCCCCTCCATTTTTAAGCACTTTGATGAGCTCGGTACATCCCTCCAACTGTGCTGCCAGCGATAGTGGGCATTCTGTGAGATCCAAGGCTGAGTAAGCAAACTATATTCAAAATGAACATTTTTTCCAGTTACACCACTGTGTAGTCTTGATGAAAATAATATCTGTAGCTGTCAACATTTAAAACATTACAATTGAAACTGTTTATTTAAAGTGACTCTTTGTTTACATAACCGACTGTCTGTGGTTATTGTCACATTCCTGTCTATCTAAATGGCAGCTCTTTTAGTGTTACACTAAGCTATTCCTGTGTTCCCCTCACTTTGCAGCTCATCTGTGGGACTACAGGTCACCCAGCAGGGAAACAACCTCCTTTGTGGTGGAACAAACATTTGAATATACATAAGACGATTAGGAGGATGAATAATCCAGCTTCCCAGCAAGCAGGAGGCTTATTTCAGAAAAGCCCTACATGGTCAGTTGTGTTGAGGACAGACAGCAAAAGGTAGAAAATACAATAGAAAAACAAATTAAATGAAGATAGGCAGTACAACAGAACACCTTATCTGTGATCATTGGGTAATATCCCTTTCCTTACCTCCTGTATCTGGATCATGGAAGTTAGGATCCAGGCCCTTTTCCAGGAATCTTGAGAGCTTTTCAGTGTTCCTCTGCTGCACATATTCCATAAACTTCTTCAAGTTTGCCTGATGCAGAGAGACAAGGAAGTAAGGTTAAAGGAAAGATGAGGAAGAGATAGCTGTGATTGGGTGAAGTCAGACTCATGTGGATAGGGATGTTTAATAATGCAGTCCACAGATGAAAGCTTCAGCCTCTGCTCTTTCCTTCTGTGTTTGAAGGTTTTATTTCTGTTCTGTCATGCCAAGCAAATGGACCAGAAGATATGTAAGCTATAATAGAAGCGAGTAAAAAACAGAGGGGTGTGAAGGCTGAACTGACTATCCTTTTTTTCATTCTTGGGCGTTATGGCTCAGAAAATAAGATTAGCAGGCTAATTTCACATGTTGACTGCATATGTAATATTAATAGCTGTGGAAAAATGATTAGTTAATGCATCAGTCATGTTACTGTGAGGTAAAAATCTGTTTCAGGGCGTAAACACTCTCTCCAAGGAAAAGCTGATGCAAAAACCTAACAAAGGAATTTATTTTCTTATAATTGGAAATATGCATTCTCATAATGAAAGAGAGTAAATATGTAGACTATTTAAATAAAGTAAAACCAGGGGAAATGCCTGAGTAGTGGTACTATCTGAGAGCTGAAAACAGGAAAATAAAATAAAAATCAATATGGTTGTGAAATACATGAAAAATCTAAATGAAATCTTAAATAAAAGTATAAACTATTGTCTTTGATATAAGTAGTAGTAGTTTTCTAATGAGGATTACCAAAAAACTTTGTTGCACTCTTTCAACATTTTCCCGCTTTTATCGTCAGGTAATATTGCCATCCACAAAGTACTGTTGTTACAACTTACTGGAGACATGTTACATGCCACACCTAACTCTTCCAAACAGCTACATGCACAATGAATACAGAAAACAGAAAGAAGCATCCTTCTGACACTCACCATCATAAACTGCCTGATCCAGTTTCAGTGTTATCCCCTTTAACACTTCCCAAATCTTACACACCAGGCTCTTCCGTCCACACCATCATCTATATCCCACTTGCCTGTACAAGCCAGCTTCTTGTTCACACACATCACACTGACATGCTGTACAGATCCAGCGACCACTACACTCGATGTCTCTGAGTCAAACTGAGTGAGAGAAATTCACTTTGGCTTTCTCTTTTTTTCACATGTGCTTTCAGGCAGTTGTTATGGTGATGGGATACAAAGACAGCTCTTGCAGCCAATGTACACATGAGTGGGAAGAGCATGGAGATTGTGTCTATGTGTAAGTGTGTGTGTCTGAATGACAGCTCTTTGTGTGTCCTGAATAATATTGCAGATAATGCCGTGAAGAGCTTCCTCGGATGATTTACCAATCAGGTGGGCCTGATGTGTGTTTTATTGCCTGCTCAACACAAGGCTGGATAAAGGCGTCTACTTTATTTTCCTCAGCGAGGACCCTAATGAACTCTTGATATTTTCTGCCCCTGGCTATCTTTTATTGTCTGTAACATACGCCGTCAAATGCACTTTTATTCAAAAACACACACAGAGAGGGTTATTTTTTCAGAAACAACCACACAAACTGGCAAATTTCTTCAAATTCTGAAACCAAACCAAAAAGACGACGAGGTGTAATAAATCATATCCGTAAGGGAAAAGCTTTGTTATGCAACGGTATAATCGCAAAACAAAGACTTCAACTCAACTCAAAAATACTTTTTTAATCCTGAAGGGCAATTAAATAATTTTATTAATTAAAGAAGGTAATGAATGTTACTAGAAATGGAACTTCTCCAAATAAACTACATCTAAAACAGTAGTAAATCATAAACGTATTCAGAAATATTGAAAATATATCCATTCTGATAGAATGATTAAATCCCTTTTCTATATATTATTATGTAAGTCATTACAGTCTAACATGAACAGCCAGCCTGGATTAAAGGGGAGAATGTTTTGGGGGTTTTTGTGATATACTGTATTAATTATTTAAAGATGCCAAACGACTATCAGATGTCTTGGTTGAAATATAATTTCTTCAAATAATTAATGACGAAGAGCTATTTTTAAATTGTGTATTCATAGCACTGAAACAGGAATGGTCAAAATAGATTTTTTACATGAACCTTACAGAGATACATTTTTGGTTCAAACCTGATTATTTTGTTAAAATGTGAAAGTTTTCCTAAAAGCTTCATCTTATACGTTTCCCCACTCTTATTCAGTAGCTTTTTGAATTTGAAAAATAAAATTCAGTATGCATTTACAGTACAGTATGACAAATATTTTCACACTGAAATCAGGCTTTATCAGTGGAACTTGCAAAAGGAAGAAAGGATCTTTCAGATGATGGGTTTGAATTTCTCTGTTAAAAAGCCAGTGAAAAAAGTACCTCTCAATCACAACTGCCCACTGTTTAAAACTTAATTCATCGATTTGCCGTATGTTCTGAATGATATTAGCATGTGTTTTACGTTTGTTTTAACATCTTAGTAGTTGAGAGAGAGTTCTTGTGTGGGTGAAATACATTCTTCAGCTGGACTCAGACATTACTAAACTCAGTGTTTGAGGATACTCGTCATTTTCCATTTATCCAGGACCAGGTTGTGGGGGCAGCAGTCTCACCGGACCCTCCCAGACTTCCTTCTCCCCAGACACATCTTCCAGCTCTGCTGGGGGAAGCCTTAGGCTCAAGCACCAATAAAGAGACACAGTTCCCCCAGTGTGTCCTGGGTTCTCCCCTTGGTCTCCTCTTGGTGGGACGTTCCTGGAACAGGGAGGTGTCCAGAGGACATCTGGAACAGATGTCCAATCCGCCTCAGCTGACTCCTCTCAATATGGAGGGAAGCGGCTCTACTCCAAGCCTCCCCTGGATGACCAAGCTCCTAACCCTGACACTTAGACCGTCCCAAGCCACCAGATAACATGAACATAGGTGATGGCTGAAACTATACCGACTGATAAATCAAGAGCTTTGCCTTTTATCTATCAACCCAAGGTTGGTTGATAGATTTTTGACAAACTAATCAGCGTAGATGACTCAAAAGGTTTGAAAACCCCTGTTATAAGGGGACCGGTACAGAGTGGGACTCTTAAACTGTTTGAGAATGTCATTTTAAAAAAAAATTAAAAATCAACAAATAACAGCTAATAGCCTTGAGGCATTTTATTTCACAGCAAAGGAATGACGGATAAAAACTTCTTTTGATGCTAAATTTGTATTTGTTGATTGTTCTTATGTTGATTTTGTACACAAGTGCACAGAGCGCTTGAACTCAAAGGAAATATATTACTGTTTTACAAACAAAATCAGAAAATGTTTTTGTAACCCCCTGATTAGATGATTGTTAAAAACAAAGCAATTATTGAACATTGAATTATTAACAGTGGATAATTTTGAAACAAAATTCTTCGTAGGGTGCTATACAGTATTAAGCCTCAATTTGGACCTCGGAGGCTGATGTTGTGCATTTTTTTCGGCATGCATGGGCATATCTAAAATAGAGAAATTTATCATGAATAGAACTCCCTGCAAAACTTGATAGCATGCTGAGCAGACAGCTCAAATATTTGAAACAAGTGGGTAACATAACTATAAAAAATCTGAAAGAAAATACAAAAGGCTTTCATACAAAAAATACAGTAGAGTTAAATTCAAGCAAAAAATGTCTACTTTGATAGTTCAAAGTAGATATAAAACAACTTTAATTTAATCACATTCAGTCCAAATCAATCTACCCATCATCTGCTTTAATCTACGTCCAAGTTGCAGCATAAATACATTAGGTATATGTTTGTCTTCCCACTTACTCTATTATAAATAAGGCTTTAACATTATGAGAAATAAATTATATAATGGAGAGCAATCTTAAATTCATGCTCTGGCCCAAAACCCTGTAAATTATCTGTTTCCATTTATCCTGTCACCCCTGCAAGCTCACATAGCCAGGCAGAGAAAAACCTGGCAAAGATTAGCAAAAACACCTCCACAGTATCTCCCTGGTTTGATGAAATTTCATTCAACATTCTGCCAAGTCTGATTTACTAATGAATGTAATCTTCCAAATGTACTGTCAATATTTAGCAGCAAGGCCATTCATCACTGCCTGGATGTGTTAAACGTCCAATAATTTCCCATAAGCATTATTCACTTCATTACAAAATAGACAGGAAATTTAAAGCAGACTCCAAAGAAAGTGAAACAGTGTAACATTATGAACCCAGAGCCCACTCCAAATTAAGCTAAATAACCACAATGTCATTAGCTGAACTGTATAAAAAACAGCTTGTGCTGTGTCATTTATTTGAACACTAAGAATTTCAACTGGGATGGGCTTCAAATTGCACAGTTTGAAGTCAGTTACTGCAAGGCTCTTGGAAGCATGGCTGCTGCTGTACAGCATCCTCTGTCACTAAAACGAAAAATGATCAGCCCAGATCTGACCACACAAAACCACACTCTGCAGGATGCTGGCAAAGCATGCAATATGCAACATGCTTTCCGAAAATCCTTTTTCCTCCACAATTTGTCTTCTATCCCAGCATTTATTCTATATTCCATGTATTTTCAAAGTTTAGTCACCTTTATTGAAAACAGCTGTGTGCATTTAAAATTAGAAGGGGCAATCACTGTCCAAATATACTACTAATATTTAGAGTGTAAATGTACTGGACTTATATTCATATCAGTAACCATCTTAATAGAAACCTCTGTCAACAATTATAATGTTATGAAAAGTCAGATTTGCTGCTTTACACAGTGGCTACAGCAGAAAATGCTGTAGTTAATTTTGTCTGGTAATCTAATAGCTGCGTGACTTCTAGTCTAAAACCTCTAAATAAACTGCTGTAGGATGTCATAACCTACTAACACACTGATACAAATCAATAACAGAGGATTTATTAATGGACTGGATATCAACAGGCCAGAAACCTAGAATGTCTGCAGAGAGATATTTTCCAATGAGCATCATTCTTACAAACATGATGCAAACATTGTTAAACACAAGTCCATTCCTTTCCACAGGTTTAATCTGGACATGATTATGTTCTAGTTACTGTTTAGAG